TCACATTTCTGCATGTATTGTAGTAACTGACTTCCTGATTCAGTCTCATTGGAGGAGTCTTTATTATATAGTCTACAAGGCAACTTAACAGATTTCATCACAGTCTGTATCAATAAGATCATAGCTAACTGCTTGTTGTCCCTGCCCCTAAGGTCAGGGTTTATCTCCTTCAACACCATACTGCAACTGGTCTTCCTCACATCACACTATGAGCTTCATGCTCTGGAAATGGGGGCTGCAATAAAGCTAACACAAGAGTCTTTATTTTTGACCTAGAAGTTTATGTTTGTTGACAGCACCCATTAAACATGTTAGTTTACAAGTAGTGGGAAACCTGGAACCCTTCAAGTTCAGTTACCACTCCAATGGGACTGGATCAGGAAAACACAATTAGGGTGGGGAGGACGTGAAGCTTTCCTGTTATTTCAGACTTAGGAACACGTACACAGAAGAAAAACCAAATGTCCAAAAAACCAAACTAAGATTCACACACTTATTCCTTTCCTGACATAAACATATCATTACATATCAATCAACTCTATGAACAACAGCAAGGGTTTCAACAAACCCTTTGAAATCCAGATCCCCTTGCAAAATACAGTTCTCACAAGAGAAGATGGAAGACACACATAGAAAGGAGGAGAGAGAAATGAGATAACAGAAAATTAAAATGTGGCAAAAACTAGAGATTGGCAACTCTATATTTATTCCAAACCTCTTTAAGTAAGACCAGGCCAACAAGAGAGAACAATCACACACACACAAAAATGGACCTATGATAGACAGTGTGGTTCTCCAAGGACATCTGTGGCAGAAGGTATCTCTGATCCTAGCATCTCAAGTGCTACCCAGGGTAGTGTTTGGGATCATGTTTCTGAGAACATTGTTGTGATGTGGTACAGCATTCTTCTTCTGTACATTACATACCAACCATACATGGCTCTGTGGGCCTTGAAAAATTTTATAAGGTACTCAATACCATTTTCTATTTAAATGGCCTAGAATGGATTAGGTTGCTTGCATCTGAAGAAATCTTCCTGATATATTTGAGAAAATAAACTGAAGTATATTAGTGCAATTTCCAATATTTATTATTGGTTTTAATTGGTTATACATGACAGCAGAATGCATTTATGCACTTCAATAGATCATACATAAATGGGGTATAAGGTCTCATTTTTCTGATTGTAGAATCACATCAGTCATGCAGTCATATTATGTACATAAGGTAATAATGTCTGTTTCATTCTACTATCTTTCCTATCCCCATATCCCCTCCTCTTCCCTCACTCCCCTCTGCCTAATCTAAGGTAACTCTATTCTTCATTAGTGCCTCCCCTTCATTGGGAATTATCATCCATATATCAGAGAAAACATTTAGCCTTTGGTTTTTTTGTTTATACTTTCTTTCCTGAAAATGAGACTCTCTAACATCTGAAAATAACTATAAGATATTTCGGGTACTTCGTTTTTCATTTTATTACTAAACTATATCAAATGGGGGAAATACACTCATTTTCTATCAAAATTATAGGAAGTCAAATTATCTTTATTATGATAACACTCTAAAGAAAATCAAACAATTTTCCTTTAAAAAGCACTTTGCTATAAACATACATTGCAATAAAAAATTCCTCATTGTTCTTTATATTACTATCTCCCATTTCTCCAATTTAAAAGCAAACAATTGGTTTCTATTTTATTTGGTAACAAACAAGTTTTATTTTTAATTTGATGATCTGCTAATATCACCCAGATTAATTCATTTTAATAAATGTGAATTAGGAAGATAATGGATTAAAATGGGCACTTAGAACAATGGCTTTATGGGAAAATTGACAATCAGCTAGTTCTAAAATAACCAAATTTGTAGAAAATTCAGAAACCCTCAAAGAAAGTATATTTATGTTAGTAAAGCGTTGTTTCATAATTTTAATGAAAATAATCATAATCAGTAATCCTCAGAAGAGAATCTATTTTACCTTTTTTTTTAATTGAGGGTGGGGTGAGGTAAGCTAAACTACCTTGTTGCAAATAGTACCTTTTACTCTTAAGCTTGCCATCTGCTAGTTTTTCAAACATTAGGCTTAATAATAAGAAGCCTTTGTTAAAGGGTAAAACCCACAATAAAATGAACAGCGACAATTAAAATTTAGAATTCTCTTCCCATTATCTACTCTTATCAGCAACATGGAATGTACCCAGAAAATGAGAAAAGGTGATTTTAAATGATGCCAACATAACTTTTCTTGATGCAAATTAAGATTTAAGAACTGCATCAAGAAATTTATTTCAGCATTTCAGGACATCAAAAAAGTACAATACCACCAAGTGTAACAGAAAATATAATTACTTACAAATTAACAAATTACTTTTGTAAAAACCAATTAGTTTCAAATATAATCAACCATCTATACCATTGTAAAAATTCTCAAGAATTGAATCAAATACATGATTTCCATAGCTATCAAAGGTCAATGTTGCCAGGTGAGATAGCACACACCTTAGGAGGCTGAGGCAGGAGGATTACAAGTTCAAGGCCACCCTTGGCAACCTAACAAAGCCCTAAGCAACCTAGCAAGACTAACTCGAAATTAAAAATTAAAAATAGGCTGGGGATATAGCTCAGTGGTTAAGCACTTCTGGGTTCAATCAATGGTACCAAAAAAGGGAGAGGGTGTTGCTGCTATCCCTCCTCTACTACACTGCTATATCATTACCATAAAATAAGGCCAATAAGAGGTAGTTCAAAAAGAAATCATCCTAACAAATGTAATTAGCCGCATTATTTGTAACAAACAATGGAAATGACCAAAATGTCTGACAACTGATAAATTAAATATGGTGTATTCAATATATAATGGAATAATAGGTGGCAATAAAAAAATGAACTCTGATACACATTCCAACAAAGATAAACCTTGAAAATATTATGTTAAATGAAAGAAGCCAGTCACAAAGAACCAATAATTGCATGATTATATTAATGTGCAGTGTCTGGAATATGTAAAACTATAGAGACAGAAGGTAGGTTACTGGTGGCCTAGGGCTAGAGTGAATGAAGGAATTTGGGGGTTACAGCTAAGGGGTGAGAACTTTCTTTTGGGAGCATTGAAAATACTCTAAAATTGATTGTGATTAATACATCTGAATGTAAAAAAATACACACTTTAAATGGGTAAATAATATGACATATGAATTTTATCCAAATATAACTTTATTTAAAAACCACCCAAAAACTAAATTCAATTTTGAAATAGAATTTTAAAAATTTCTTCAAGTGTTAATGTCTTAATCTTATGGATAGTAAGCCAGAACTGTTTAAAACATTGGATGAAAAAGAACACCTATACAAGAGGAAATCAAAAAGATTCAAGGAAGAAAGGAAGGAAAAGAGAAGAACAGAAAGAAGAGACAGAAGTAGAACAAGAAGGAATATGAATCAAATGACCCCAACACAAGAAGCCAAAACTACAGGTGTCAGCAGTGGAGAACAAAGGCAAGTCCCTAATTCCCCTGCCATCTGCCAAGCGCAGAATGAGTGAAAAGGGGCTTTTTTCCAGGCCCATGGCAGCTGGACACATGCAGTAGAGAACATACATTCAGATCCTCAGTCCTGTCTACTGCAGAGGGACACAAATCACAGCAACAAGGTCCCTCACCAGCCATTCACATTGTTGTCAGCTGATATGTCACAGTCAATTCATCAGCTTCACAGTTTCTAACATCATCTGATTTTGCTTTAAATAACATCTTTTAATTTTAATTTAATGTTTCTTAATTTTAAGACTTAGATTTTCTATTCCTATCACAACTAGAAACAATAAAAAGATCAAGCACCAGAGAACATTTAAAATTAAAAAAAAAAAAAAACAACTATAAGTAGAGTCCAGGCATGGTGGCATAAGCTTGTAACCTCAGCAGTTTAGAAGGCTGAGAAAGGAGGATCACACGTTCAAGCCAGCCTTAGCAACTTAATGAGGCCCTAAGCAACTTGGTGATACCCTGTCTCAAAATAAAAAAACATAAACAGGGCTGGGGATGTGGCTCTGTGGTTAAGTGCCCCTGAGTTCAATACCTAGTACTGAAAAAGAAAAAAATAATACAATTATAACTTTTACATATAATTTTTTTTACATATAATTAAAAACAGATGTGCTTCATACTTATTAGCACATTGGTTTCCAAAAGTTGTTGCTCATCAGGATCACCTAAGGATTCTTTTAAAACTCCCAAGGCCACATCACAACCAGGTCAAATAAATTGTTAAAATCCTGGAAATGAGAATCAGATATCAATATATTATTTAAAAATGCTCAGTTTGATCATCATAACAATCATACCAAAAATCTTCTTATTTGTTTTCATATTTTTGAAGGAGAATTAGATGAATATTAGTTAGCTGAATACTAAAATGATTTAAGTCTAAATGTAAATTTTTTGAAAAAAAAAAAAAAAACAGTTTAAGAATATCTCATATAACCCTAAGATTCTTCTTTTTTCCTTCTTTTTCTTTTCTTTTTTGTGATGTTGAAGATCAAACCCAGCGCTAATGTGATCTGCCACAGAAGTAAAGTTCCAGCCCTATGACTTTGAATTTTATTGTGACTCATATAAACTCTCAGCTTATTAGTCATGAAAATTAAAACAATGAGAAGCCTCAATTAATATAATTGATGAAACTGCTTAAAAATAATATTAATAATTAAGTCTAATAGAATAAACAGTTTAAATTAAAGAACTATGGTGATATGTTTTATTGAAAAACCAGTAATTTTACTCCTAGAAAAGTAACCTAAGGAAGTAATCATAGATGTTTGCCAAGACATCTATAAGACAAATTATAACAATACAAATTGAAATTCTAGACATTCACTAAAAATAATACTATAAAAGAATATTAAGTAGCATGCAGTTTCATAATATAGTATCTACATACAAACCAGTCACAAAATAGTTTCACAAAATCTATGTATAGATTTCATATACGTGGAACCTACTTGCAGTTGAACAGAATTATGCCGAAGGCCCTCCACAATAGAAGAAAATCTGTCAATTTTTCTTTCTTCTCCAGCTGAAGTTAAAGCTTCTAAAACTTCTTCAAGGCTATTGGAAATGTGAAAGTCTATTAATTAAATTGCAAATGACACAAATACCATCATGCAACTGCTTCATCCTGCTATAGGTGTCTATATGCTGAGGCAACCAGTAACACTTTTAGAAGTAACTTACTGAGTACATACCATGGACCAAGCACTGTTCTAAGCATAATTTATGCTTCAATTCATTTAATCCTGACAATGCCCTACGAAAATGTGCATTTGTCAAGTATTTATATACCACTTACCACTTATCAGGCACTATTTGAGCCACTTTACAAATATTAAATATTTTTTTAACTTTTTAATTGATACATTAAAATTATACATATTTGTCATGTTTCTATATATTTATATATCGTGGAATGCTGAAACTAGGATAAGCATACTATCTCCTCAAACTTAGGTCACTTCTCTATGGTAAAAACAAACATTCAAAATCCTTTCTTCTAGCTTTCTTGAAATACACAATAGATTATCATTAGTAGAGTCAATTTACTGTGAATTAATGTATACAAAAAAACACATGAAGTGAGTACTATTATTAATCCCCACACTAGATTAGGAATCAGAAGCAGAAAAAGGTTAAGCAACTTGTTTAGTGGCTCACATCTGCTACATTGTGGAACAAGGTTCTGGAACCAGACAGCCCCGTTGCAGTGAGCAAAAAAAGCTCTCACCAATACATTCCAATGCCTTTCAAATAAATGAAGTTGTAATAGCCAAAAATACACAGTAAGATACTTTAAGTATTCAAATGTACAATATAATTATGCAAGAGCTATATGCCTCCTCCTCTTGTAAAGAATAATGTGTATCTAAGCTATTATAGATGCTTATTTTGTGGATGGAGGCAAATAGTTCTAAATGTTATTTACATTATTTTAATACCCATTCTGAAGTCAAGAAGCAATAAAAAAGGGAGAAAAGGGAAGGAGGAAGAAAAGGGAGAAGGAAGGAAAAGAAAGAGAAAATGGGAAAAGAGAGAGAGGAAGAGGAGGACAAACAGAAAGAAAAAAGAAGGAGAGTAGGAAAAAAAAAAAAACAGGAGTCCAAGAGGATATGGAGAGAGGAAAAGGAGGAGGGAAGGGAGAAGGGCAGTAATAAGGAGAAAGAAAGGATGGAGGAGAAGGGAGAAAGGAAGGAGAAGTTAAAAAGTATCATATATGTATATCAACATGTATATAAATGCTAAGACATTAATTCTTAGACTTCCACAACAAAAAACATGATATTTTAAAACTGCAAAGGATAAAGTACTAAAGCCAGATGCCATGCTTGGGACAATAGCTGGGTTTAACTAAGCCTCTTCTACAGATATACACTACAGGTATACACTGGGTATACACTGGGAACAAGGAACAAGGCCTAAGTGGTGCCTTTGACTCTGCAACTGTGGCTCCTCTAAACTGGCTCAATCCCACTGGCTATAGCAGGATCTCCCTGAGGCAGATTTTCAAAGGAATGCAGGAGGCTCTGCTTATTGGGCTCTGCATACCCTTGTATGAGATGTCTGTGTTCTTTTGGTTGTTCAGTTCATTCATTTTAATCGTTTTCAAAAGGCATTTATATGCTTTCTTATAATTACAAGACCAAGTTCCTTTAAAGAAGAAAAAAACGTTTATAATTATCTGGAATAAGTACAATAGTCTAAGAAATACAGTTAACTGCTTTAAAGCTTTAGTATGTACTGTAAGGTCAAAGACTTTGTACCCTCAGGAGTACAGTACTATCACATATAAAATTTCCAAAATATACATATAGATTTTTCAAATACCTATGTTTGTTTTTATAAGGTAATATACATAGCACACAGCTTGAATTAATTCTATCTCAAAAAAATTAAATAGAACCAATATATATATATATTTTTCAGTCTGCACATAGTGCTTGAATTCAAAACAGTTCAAACTATGATGAAGAAATCCATTTTTCAATGGAACATTTTGGCCAATAACATACGGATAAAGAGAAAAAATTACTCAGCATTTCTTTTTAGTCAATCAGAATTTAAATCAAATATTTACATAAAATTCAACATGTATTTAAATTTTAAATGAATAGATACCATTAAATGAATAAACTTTTGAAGCTTATTATTTACCATGACCAAAAAGGCAAAGAACACTTACATGCTTTCCTCTCCTACAATGCACACAGCGGAAAGGAGCTTAACCACATCTGTCATCATACTGGGGTGCTTGGGATCCATGGCTTTGGCCAATAAGGAAAGACTCCTTTCTTCACTCATAATTCTTTCTAAGCCATACTACATTATTTTGGAAACAAGAGGTTAAATGTTAGGAGTTAATTGAAAAAACCATGCCTAAATCGAAATGCAGTTATTTAGAAATTTTTATAAGAATACATTCTCACAACTAGTAAAGTCTGAAAACATGCATGCCTGTAGCACATTAAAAATTCACAAAAGTATTCACATTATGTCAAGAACTATGAGGCTATACCAAATACAGAGAACACAAGAGTAAAATGAGATTTTCCAACAGCAAAACAGACCATACTAAAACAGACACCGAGGTCATGAGGAATTTATTCCTGGGCAAGAAGGCTGGTAAGAGAGCTATATGCATAAGTAAGCACACAGCACTGTTGATGAGAAACACAAGGCAAACCACATTGTGTGTGCAGTAATCTGTCATTTTGAACCAATAAGTAAAACTATTTTCTATAAAATTAATCCACTATAATAAAATCATTTCAGCATATAAAAAATGTCAAACATTCTATTGATGAGAGGTTTCACTTTTTTCTTCCTATTTGAAATCCAGGTGTATTTTACATGTACAGCACATCTCATTTCAGATTAGACACATTTCAAGCACACAAGCCACATTTGACTACCATATTATATTGTGCAGGCCTAAAGAGTAACACTATATTTATAAACCAGCAAAAGTTGAAGGACAATCTGAGGAAGGTCCCATGTAGAAACTGCCTTAGGAAATGTTGTATCCTAATCACAATGATAGTAATCATCAAGAAGGCAATGCAGTTGTAAACACAAATGTTAATTTGGGATGAGGGTCATCTATTTGCTGCTGCCAGGACATTATATCCAATAAGAAAATGAAGAGCTATATTAATGACATGGTGGTTTAAGATTGTATACATCTCTTGGGCCTATTTATAATCTGTATAAGTGTGAAAAAAAATAGGCTGAACAAAAGCAATTGAATAATACCATTTACCTATCATGCATCTCAAAGGATTCCTCTAAGGAGGAAGAAACTGGTTGATCTGAGACACGACTAGGCACTAAAAAGAGGCCTTGATTCCAATTAGAAACCTATCAAGTATGACTTGAAATTAGCAGTACATATAAGCACCAAAGTCAAAGCATAACAAGTTTAGACCCAACTGCTTTGACTGTTATAAAGGCCTATTTATAACATTCTTGCCTTGCATCTGACATTTATGTAAAGAAACCTTCACACTGTGCGAAAATATTGCATTTGCTTTAAACCACTAAGAAACACAGGTACAGTGGAGAAAGTACAAGCCAATGGATGGGCCAAGTACCCCAGGATAAGACTTTCACAAAGACTTCTCTGTCTCCATGATGGGAGAATGTTTACAGAAACAGCTAAGCCAGTCATAAAATGCTCACTTCTGTGATGCCCAGGACTGGAAACAGAGCAGAACAGCAGGCATTGGAACAGAAACTACAACTTGCGTTGATAATCATAGGAATTGTCAGCAGATTATAAAGTACCATTTAAATCTGGTTCACAAAGTCAATCAGTCAATGATTACCAAGAACCAAAGAGCTCAGTTTGTACTCAAAATCCTGAGGATTAAGGAAAGCTTGTACCCAGCATTTCCCTTTCATTTCCCACCTACCTTGCTGCCCTTAGCCAGTGTCTATCATCCTGAATCAGAACCATGTAGCTCCTCCAGCCATTCAAGATGACTCATGGTGATGTCCTTCAAGTGGTACTACCTACTTTCTCTGCAAAACCCTCTGACTCTTAAAATAGTGTGTGAGAAGGATAGAATATAAGCATTTTCTGATTTCATGGCATTAACTGTCATCCTGTGGCTCCAAAGACCCATCACAGGCAGTATCCTCTGATTTGGTTCATGTAAAAATGTATAGTGCTCATCCAATCATGGGATTGGAATGAGGCCTGATTGTCACTATTCAGTATCTATAACTAAACAGAGAAATACCACCAACTTGTATAAAGTTACTCTCAATTATGTATAAAATAAAAGCAAAGAGAAACCAAAACTATGGACTCTACATGCAAAATGGCCAACTTACCAGTGATAGCAATTAAAGTGCTTTTAATGAAGGCTATTATAGGCTACAGAGGTGTGACAAATTTTGGAAGATCTAAGGATGTAGCTTTCTGAATGTCAAGGAACCACTCTGGGTAATATAACTGGCCTTTTCTAAAATGAGACCAATGCCAGGTTCCCCGTGCATTCTACATGAGGCCCATTATTACCTAACAGAATTTCAGGCCACTGAAGATGATGTTTTAGGTAGGATATGATATTCTTCAAAATATGATCCACATAACAGTTTGATTTTAAAAAAAATGTACCTTGTATTTGTCTCTACTTTCAGTCTATCACAGGTAAAATTTCTAATTTCTATATTCTCACTTTAGAAGGAGTCTCCTAAAGCAGTGCTATGAACTCAGTAGGAAAATACATATCTCCATCATCAGTTTTGGAAGAAATGTTAATAATTTAAGTACTAGTACTTAAGTATGTAGTCTAAAGTTTATTTAAATAGAATAAGGCAAAATGTCATACATTGAAATTAATCAGAAACATACAGAGTTTGCATGCAACAAATATCAGCAAACACCATCAATAAAATTTTCTTCTCTGAGGTCCAACAGCAACTAAAATGTTCAGTACTACTTCACTCATTGTGAAGTATACATACTTAGATGTTCAAACTAAAGTAATGTCAGGAAATAATGTCAATTTTGATTGTCAACAATGCATGGAAGAAAAAAAGAAATGTGTCAGATAAATGCAACTTCAGTAAAGAACATAAAACATCTCTCCTTTCTAATGTATTCTCTTTAAATATGAAAATCCTACAGATATTCCATATTACGTGTGGTCTCAATATTATTTGTATTAATCAAGACTGCTCCATTTCTGGAATCTTCTCAGACCTGTTGACATTAATTTCATTATAGATTATAATTCCCTGGAATGTATACAAGTGCTAAATTGTTCCAACTTGAATCCTTGGTAATAATTATCATTACACTATTTTTTAAATAATCAAGTTTTAATAATCATCTATTATTCTAAGTTGGCTAATTCTGTATTTTTGAAAATTAAAAGAAGATGAAAGAAAAGAGGGATTTAAAAACGAGAAGGGGGAATGAAAGAAAAGAGAGAATTTATCTACATATGAGGATTTACACAGCATAAAAAGTCCATTCAATCCCAAGTGTCTCATGTTGCAGGATAGTTTGTTTCATACAAACTTGGAATCCAATTCAATATCTCCATTATGTACTGAAAAGCACATGAGAACAATACATCTCATGAATGCAAATAAAACCCTATATTACAAATATCTAGTTCATATAAGAATTGATGATGGACAAATACTAATTATCTATGTGCATACCTGTGTATTCATCAAGGCCTTTAGACACTGTATGACTTTGTGTTGGTTCTTCTTTACAACTTTTTCTTGGCTGTATACACATAAAAAATATCAGTATTGGAATTAAAAGGGGAAATACAAATATAACTGAATTGAAAATGTTTTGCAGTACTTACATTTTTCCACTAATCAATTTTTCCAAAATGTCTAGTAGTAATCCAAGTCCCTCATGTCCAAAGCTTTCCACCCAACTGAAAAAATGGAAAAAGTGTGAGACAATGCAAAAAAGATTGGAAGAGAAATGATGGGGTTATAGTTTTAACATAATCAAGGACTTAATCCCAGATGGGATTAATTAAGTGGTGGCTGGAGGCAGGTGCAGTGTGGCTGAAGGACATTTCCTCTGGGGACTTGGCTTTGGGGTAGGGGAGAATGTTCATATCACTAATCATGATGAGAACACAAGTCAAATCCAGAATGAGATATCACCTCACTCTAGTACAAATGGCTACTATCAAAAATACAACAAGTGCAAAGTGCAACAAGCGCAAAAAAACTACAAGACAAAGATATGAAGTAAAGAGAACCTTCACAAGCTGTTGGTAGGAGCAGCTGGTAAGCACAGTCATTATGGGAAGAGTATAGAGGTTCCTCAGAATTTCAAAACCACAACTACCACATAATCCAGCAATCCCCCTGCTGGGTATATATCCAAAGGAAATTAAATTTGTGTGTGTCAAAGTGACATCTGCACTCCCATGATTGTTGCAGCACTATTCACAATAACCAAGATAGGGAAACATCTAAGTATCCATCAGCTGAGGAATGGATAAAGAAAATTACATATAAGAGGAAGTGAGGGGAAAGGGGAAAAAAAAAAAAACAAGAGAGAGAAATGAATTACAGTAGATGGGGTAGGGTGAGAAGATGGGAAGGGAGGGGAGGGGAGGGGAGGGGGGGATAGTAGAGGATAGGAAAGGCAGCAGAATACAACATACACTAGTATGGCAGTAGGTAAAAAAGTGGATGTGTAACCGATGTGAATCTGCAATATGTATATAGGGTAAAAATGGGAGTTCATAATCCGCTTGAATCAAATGTATGAAATATGATATGTCAAGAACTTTGTAATGTTTTGAACAACTAATAAAAAAAAAGAAAAAGAAAATGTGGTACATATACACAATGGAATACCATTCAGCCATTAAAAAGATGAAATCCTGGCATTTGTGAAAGCATGGATGGAACTAGAGATTATTAAATGAAAAAAAGCCAGGCACAGAAAGACAAATTCTTCATGATCTCACAAATAGGTGGAATGGAGAAGAGTTGATCTCACAGAAGTAGGAAATGGAAGACAGCTTACAGTAATTGGGGAGAGTAGGGGGAATGCAGAAATGTTGATCAAAGGGTACTAAGTCACAATTGAGGCAGAACAAGAACTCCTGCTGTGCTCTTGAACAAGAGGGTAACTACAGATAACAATTATATACTCAGAACCTTCAAAAGCCAAAAGAATTTTGAAATTTTTTATAAGCATGCCTGTAATCCCAGTAGCTTGGGAAGATGAAGCAGGAGGATCACAAATTTAAAGCCAGTCTCAGCATCTTAGCAAGGCCCTTAGCAGCAATTCAGCAAGGTCCTGTCTCTAAAATATAAAAAGAGCTGGGGATGTGGTTCAGTGGTTAAGAGCCCCTGGATTCAATCTATGGTACCAAAAAAAAAAAAAAAATAGAGATAGAAATGTTTAACCTGATTTAAACATTTCACAATATACATATGAATTAAAATATCACCATACCCCATTATGTGTAGAATTTTTATGTTCCTCTGTATGTGTATGCATTTTAAAAATTCAGTGCTTAAAATCCATTTTCTTCATTTGCATTCTGAAACACAGCTTGCCCACCTACAAATTTTCAGAATTTGATATTACAAAAAAAAAAAAAATCTAAACAGCATATTTCTTGCCACTTATATTGACACTCCCCTGTCAAGATGATTTTATTCATCTATTCTCTATCCAGGAAAAGTCACAGAATAACTAATTCAAAAATGCACAAACATAAGAAAGACACTCCCTGCAAAAGACTGAAACCTGCCTGCTATTATGACTAAAAGAGTTAAATAGATGTTTCTGTTTCCAATCAAGATGCTACTTCAAAAAAAGAAGAGTTACTCTGCATTATCAGTAACAGACAGACTGCCTGTAGGCATTTCATATCTTGCTTTCATGTCTCATGAGAATACCTAAGCATCTGCTTAACTGTTTGCCTTGTTGACATTCTATTTTGTATTTATTCTTATTTCACATGCAGCAGAGAAGCTTAAAATCAAACATATAAGGAATCATTTGAGAGCTAACTTAGTTGGTATTGAGATGCATAGAGAATCTGTGCTCTTCGGCCCCCAAGAGTTAGTACTTCCCCAGTGGGCCTTCAATATTTTGTTTGGAGTGAATTTTCAACCACTCTATATTCAATGTATATCCATAAATATATTCTAAAGCTAATATAAATAGTTTCAGATTATTCATACTGCTACCTTCAATGTGCACAATAAAGTTAATATTCACAAAACTGCCTTATACCAAAATATACAAAGTGATTTTAAATTATGTTAGTACAACAAAGACTTTTTTGCACTAATTTTGCTTATGTTGTGACCTACTATAAAATTTATTAAAACATGCCAATCCATGTAAATTGGTAAAGCTCTCTGATCTGAGTAATTAAAAATACAACATAGCCATTTAAAATTTATCATTCCTAACATAATAATTATAACTAGAATAATAGGACCCCAATCAACTATTTCTAAACCCACTACATACCTCTCCTTTAAACTACAGAATATAAATCATTAAACTAAAATTTACACCTACTCATGTATATTACATGTAAACTAATTCTCTATCAAAGAAAACTTATTAAAGTTCTGCCGCAGTCTGGCTGGGCACAAAATCACGAGCCACTCAAGCAGGAACAAAGTTTATTTTTTGAAACTGCCGCCAATGTCCGGTACTGCCCGGGAAGATTTTTTCCACCCACGCGGCCTCCTCTCGGACCGCCGAGAGAGCTCCTCCCCCGGAACTCCCTCCTACTGTACTTCCCCAACCAATGGGAACTCTCCAGGAGTCCCGTAGCTGGCCTAGGTGAACAGCAGGAGTCCAATATCCATATGAATGCAAATCTTAACATAATCATATCATCTCAATGGCTAGCTGGCGTCACCTTTCAACCAAAAATGCCATGCATCATATACTTGGCTCTTAGCATCTCCCCCCTTCTGTTTAAGTAACAAGCAATCTGGCTAGGGACCGTGCCTGTTAGGTTTGTCCAATTCAACATATGGTTCTTACCCGTCATCGGAAAACTGACTTTTAGGCGTCAGCCTCCTGTCTTAGGTTGATACCACTGCAATTGGATCATACCCGTCACTGACTACCGGTCCAGCATATAGCCATACTTGTGGATAGGCCTATGTACCAGTGGGGGGGTGAGGTTCTTTGCCTCACCTCTGTTGGCCCCCAAAATTGGCCTTGGTGCTGGTGGGGGGATGAGGTTCTTTACCTCACCTCTGTTGGCCCCCAAAATTAGACCATCACTAGTAGAAGGGAGGAGGATACAGAAATGTCATGACACCAAGTCAATTAACGGCTCCTAGGAAAAATTACATCACTGGTGACACAGCAGCAAAGATACGCTAGCACTACCATAATTCTCTGCATCAACAAATAGATCACAAAGCATACAAGTGATACATAGTCCAGGCAAGTTCTGTAAACAGTTCAAAGTAGAGGAATCTATCAATATGTCCATATCCTCCCAAAATAAAGCATACAAGTGATACATAGTCCAGGCAAGTTTTGTAAGCAGTTCAAAGCAGAGGAATCTATCAATATGTCCATATCCTTCCAAAATAAATCGACTCATTGATTGAGCATTACTTGTTGAGTTATAAATCATTGATGTATCAGCTTACACGGTTTGTTGTGATAACTCTCAAAGAAGTTGTAGTTTGGTTTTATCTTTGTCTTCACCGGCACTGGGATGAAAATAGGAATTTTGACAATGATGCTAAAAAAAAAAAAATATGTAACATTTCAACAGGTACTAAGAAAACAATATTTAGAACAATTTACATTATCCTGAACAGAATTATTAAATATAATGAAAAGGAAAGGTGAAAGTAAACAAACAGATTTGTTAATCTTCTATTTGTTCATATATTAGAACAATCCTCAACAGCTGTTTACCCAAATTAAATTAAACTATTAAAATCACGTGAATAATAAAAAAAAAAAAAAATTTTTTTTTTTTGGATCCATGTGCATGAGCGCCCCTCATATGTGAAATATGGACATACGCACATACAGACATACAACACAAAACAGAAGTGTGCACACGTAACATATAACACATAAGACAATAGTAAAGGCCTTGTAGCTTTACCTAGGTGAAATCTCCATTGCAATGTTCAAAAACTCCACAGTCAAAAAAACTGATCAGAAAAAACATTAACCTAGGTCTGTATGAGCTCAAAAATAAAATAGAACTTTATGATGTGGGAAAAAGCAATAATAAAATAGATATTGAAAAAAACATCCTGGTTAATCACTGTCACAGATGTAAGAATAGCCAAGCTGGAGATCTGGATATCAGCTGTTATGGATTTGAGTGGAATCATCTTCCTTTTGTTCTGTAGGAGCTGTTTTAGTTAGTCTTTCTGGAATCCAAATCGGCTGCTGTTCTTCCTGTGGAAAAACACAAACAGAGCCCCGACTCCAGACTATCACTGGGTCAGGACCTTTCCATTGTCCTGTTAGAATATCTTTCCAAAGTACCTTAGGCTTATGTACATTTTTTGGATACAAATGTCTTTCCGCAGCACTAAGCCCTGATGAATCCAAATTTAAAAAGTTTAGAGTAAAAAGGGTTATTTTAAGTTTATCTTTGGGGGATATATACCCCTTTCCAATTCCCTCCTTTTGTTTTAATAAGTACATTTTAATAGTTTGATGAGCTCTTTCAACTATGCCTTGTCCTTGTGGATTGTATGGAATTCCTGTTATGTGAGTAATGCCAAATGATGAGCAAAATTGTTTAAAAGAGGTGGACGTATAACCAGGACCATTATCGGTTTTTAACTGTTTTGGAACGCCCACAGTGGCAAAATTTTGTAAGCAATGAGCTATAACATCTTTAGTTTTTTCTCCAGCATGAAGGGAGCCCATCAGAAATCCGGAAGA